GTAAATATATTCCTATATTCGAACTTAGGGAGGAATTAAGTATTCTGTGAGTCCAGATTTTCAGCTCCGAAACTTATTCGGTGATTTACACTATTATGAGAATGCCGGTTTATTGTTTAAAGCAATATAGCCGATTTCTGTGGAATAACGTCTGAATCAAAAACAGATTTTAATCATTAATATTATTAAAATTATTCTTATTATTATTACTAGCAGAAATGTATAAGACGCAGATAAAATCCAATAAATCTAATACATACTAATCGAGCTTGCACATGACTATGAGTAACATAAACATAATAATTTCTCGCAGCGCAATTTTTGCCAGCAGGCTGGGCGCAGGGACCGAAAGCCCTGTCCTGTTAAGGCACCCGCCCCGGGAATCCGTGGCGCACAAACGCTTTATTAATAACGTTACCGGCAAAAATTGTTTATTCAGGTAAAACTGCTATAAAATCACCAGCTACCGGCCTTACGCCGGCCGCGATTACCATATCGGCCCCGGTATATCATTTTTCTCGTTCTTGTTCCACAACAACAACGCGCTGATCGCCAAAACAAGATCAATCAAGCGCGGTAATATGTATCTGGTGTATACGTGTGTGTGTGTGTTGTAATGTGCCGCTGCCGTTGCCGTCGTTACTTCGCATTATAGAACACACACTGCAGTATATTGCACTGCACTTCAAACTGCAGCTGTTGCTCATGCAAGCAAGCACACAGGCTTGTTCCGTTCGATAAACCTAGCCACACGCACACATTCACCATAAGCCAAGCCAAGCTTTATTGCACTCGGCACTGCTCATAATACAACCAAGCCGCGGCAATGCGGATTCGGCTGACTACGTCGTTTATCGGGGGTGCTGCCAGATCAGCGGTAACGCAAGCGGAAGTCTTTTGCAACAAAATTTATTTATTTGCGGGTGGGTCGGAGGTAAAGGTCACCGGAAGGAAAACTATCAATAAAAATGGGGCAAATAATTTTCATTCAAAAATAGCAAATTTACGGCATTTTGAGGAATTTTCCCAAGAATGCTTTTCGTGCTTAACATGTTGATCGCGCGGAATAACAGGAAATGAAGTATGATATTTTGCGGGCGGCTTAAGCGGTTGGGCGTTCTGGGATTAATCCCTTGTCGTACCCGAAACAAAAACAATATTTTAAAATCAAAAATGATTTTTTATTGTAATAAAATCTTTAAGAAATTCCAGTACGAATTATTTACCGGTAGTTTTGTATTAATACGTTTTATTATTTTCTCGTTCTACTAGATGGCTAATTCTTAAAAAGGTTTTACTCGTACTTTCACATTTTCCGCTGTAAAATACCAGATTTGTTGTTATTTTTTATTATTATTGCGGTGATTTTTGCAACGTAAAAATCTTTTCTAAATATTGTAATGGATTTTTTCAGCGTTTATTCTATAATGTCTTTGCTGGTTTTGGGCCGACTATGCATAGCGTTACGTGTGTATTGCCGCGGCGGTGTGCAGCACGTTATAGAACAGGCGGTTCATTCAGTATGCTGCCTAATCGAAGAGAGAGGCAGCAAGCAATCAAGCTGATAGCGTCAGCATGGGCAAAAAGCAGCCTGTCCATAGAAAGCGCATACTCGATCGTCAATACCGCCATGCAGGCTTTACGGCACTAAGAGGACCACTAGCGCAACGAAGCACTGGCGCCCTTGGTTGCCACTACCGGCAAACATTGTTAGTGAGAATTACTAAATTCACTAAATACATTGTTAAATACATTACTAAATACATTGTTAGTGAGAATTACTAAATTCACTAACATTGTTAGTGAATTTAGTAATTCTCATTTACGTATTTAAATCAAACCGCACTGTAAAACATTTGTGGACGGTAAATAAATTTATTCTTCAGAATGTATACTTTCCATTTGATCCACTGGCTCCCCTCTTATTAGTATGTATCTGCCAATTTATTTATGAAATTTGTGGCAGTTTTAGAGGATCAAAACAACCGGAAATGAAAATCGCGAGCATCCATTTTTAAACTTGGATAACTAACTAAAATTCCCCCAAAATAATTGTCACATAAAAGGGTAAATCTGATAGCTTTGCAGTTAGCAAAAATATCGGGTATTAAATAAACAACTGTTTTTTTCTGCGTTTTTCTGTTTTTTTTTACTTTTTATACATTTAAATCGCTGCCTTCATTTAAGTTATTTTCGCTTGTGTTTTACAGTGAACTTATTTTTTATTTTATTTATTCTAGGTGCTTATTTGGAAACATGATTTTCAGATCGAAATTTTTCGCGAATACTTTTGCGCGGTAAAGAGCAAACACCGCCTGCCTTACATTTGTATTTCTATGGTACTTATTTTCCTTTCTTTTATCCTGTGTATCTGGAATTTTTTTTAATTGTGTTTTTCTTAAGGGAAATTTCTTGTGTACTCATTTTTCTGATTTCGATATGCGCGTAATTTTGTAATCGGAATACTTCGCGAATAATTTTGCACGGTAAGAGTAATAAACCAGACTAGCGTCGCTTACTTTTAATTTGCTTTTTCTTAGTAAATTAGTTTCGATTTTCAGTTCCTTGTTTTTGATAGCTTTTAACCGTGTTTCTCCAGTGTTTTGGTTTTCGGCAGTAAAGTTTCTAATTTAAGTCCATAATTTCAAAAGCTAAATGTTTTTCCGCTGTCGCAAATATGCCGGTAGTCGACAACACCCTCGGCGCGTCACCAGCTGTTGCCGTCGTAAAAGCCATTGGCAGCACGCTCATATTCCCTCAGCAGAGGCAGCCAGCAATGCAAGAACACACAAAGCGCTGCCTATCTGATGCATAGCGACAGCATACAGCAACACACACACAGCCAATAGCACCCGATAGAGAAAAGCCGTATCGCGGCTGATGGCACGTTAATAATACGCCGCACAGCATAACACACAGCATAGAGCGTTGCAGGCTGCCCTTGTTACAAATACATATCGGCCAAAGCTTAAAGCATAGCACACGCACAACACAGCACACATTCTAAAGCATTCGCAGCCGTTGGAATAGCATTCTCCGTTCTTATAACATAGCACGTTATAAATCCTACCAGCCACTCAACATTATAGCCGGAATTTCGTTCCACAATCGGGATACAAGTAAGTGATTTTTAACGGCTCCTATACGGTTGCTAACATAAGCGGCCGTTTATTTGCACGCGCGTATCCGGTTTAGATGGAGAATATTATTGCATAGCGCTGGTAAACGGTGGTCTTTCGTCGGTTGGGAAAACGCTGCTGATTTCTTTTTCTACGTTTCCGAAATCGGTTTTAAATTAAAATACTTATATTCAACATAATGTTAGCAATCAGTTTAAAAGAAAAGAACCTTCGTGGAGGTAGAATAACACCGAGAAAACAGCGGTGGCTGTTGCGCGGCGCTATGTATTCGCCAATAGTGTGGTCATTTTCTCATGATTCTCATTTTGCCTTGATGGGTTCGTTAATTGCGGTATTGATTCATCGCGTTGGGGTCTTTGTAAATAATCAGCATTTAGAAACCGCAGTGCATCGCAACTGTCAATTACCGCCATGCGAATAACATAACATCTGAATAAAGCGATTTGCGTAAATCTTTTTCGAGTATTGCCGATTTTCCCAACATTAATATCGACTAGATCCTCGCTTTATATAATTCGATGAATGATAAATTATTATTTATGAATTATTAGAGAACAAAAAATTCGTTACTCAACCGTGTTTTTGGTGTGACTCATTTTTAAAAATTTGCTGGACTTTTTGAAGAATAAATTATTCATTTTTTCTTTTTAATTTTATTTTATCGATTTTTCTTCGGCAAATAAATTCCCAGAAAATATTCCCCGGTCGTCCGTTTATTTAGGGAAAATTAGAAAAAACCCGTGGATATTTTTTTTGCATTTTAATTAAATAGGAAATATGAGCACATGACGCGGCTGTATTGACGCCGTATATATTTTATCACGTGGTCATTTGCTAGCAGTATGGCGAATGCCGATCAGGGCGCACAGTGCTGGCTTTTATCGTTGTCGAGTAGAGCATGTTGTGTAGGCACGCAAATGCGAAGCAAGGCAGTTGTAATGCTGCCGTTCCCTGCAGCACTACGAATGCCGATCGGCCATTATGGCCGCTGCAGTGCTGCTGTCATATATTGCAGGCGGCGTGCAGCGGCGCATTACACATTCCCATAGCGTTCGATTCACAAGAGAACATAGCGAACATTACGCCGGTTTTGGCGGGCTTGGCGGATGTGCGGTGCGCGCCGGTGTTCCCAAGATTCAGCTGTACGCGGCGAGGGCACAGTAAATCAGTGGAAAATTTAGTCCAGCATTTAAAAATCGCTTTTAAATTGTAAAAAACTTCATAATTTTTTCCTTAGTGGAAATTTGTAGAAAACGTCTAGATTAAATATTCTGAAACTTCATAAAATTAAAAATAACCAGGTGTTCAGACCAGTGAATATTCGATCCATCTGTATTCTGTCTAAAAACCACTTTCTAATACACATCAATACAGCACAGCATTTAAAAAAACTTGTTCCTTTTTCATCAAAAGATGCTGCGAATTTGTCAAAAATTTTCTCAGACGTGCAGTATTTAATAAATTAGCAGACTGTTGATTTCCTGGCAATGTTCCTCAACGTCATCCAGTTTTTATTTTATTGCATTTTATTTCATTTCCGCATACACGCCTCTTATCGTGTACTATTCAGTAAATCATTATTCGTGTCATGCTTTGTTATTATTTTTTATTATTCGTGTTCTATAATATTATTATTAATTTTTTATAAATTTTTATCAGCATGATGTATCGTACTTTATGTAACCGAAAAACAACATTATGTAACAACAACATTGGCGGTAATGCTGCAAAATTTGTTGAGAAAAATAACGATTTTTTAAAATACTTAAGTACTGGTCTTTTACTGCAGAAGTTGCTAAGGCATTTTTCATAATACTAGAATATTATTTGCGTGAACATAGCGTACGTACTTTAACGTTTTTATTTATCGCAAAATATACTGCACATGTGAAAATATTGAAAAGTGCCGACACAAGGAGAATGTTTTAACTGCATAAAACACCGAAAAATTTTCCATAAATTTCGTAACGTTTTACTAAAAACTGCTCATCATCCCGCCATGGCTGCGCCCGCTCCCAATCTGCTGATGTGCACAATGTGCCGGAAACGGCAGCCGGCAGCGGCAGCGCCCAGTAAAGCGCGCAAGGTCGCCATGCAGCCGGCTGTACAGGCGATGGGGACCATTCTGCAGAAACACCGGAAGAAGACAATATTGACCGGACGTCTGCAGAAAAAACCCGCCCACCTTATCCAGAAAAAGAAGCCATTGCCGGCGAAAAAACGCACGGCTTTGAAGCGGCCCATCTCTCTGTATAAACTGTATAAGAAAGCGGCTGTGGTTAAAAAGCGTCATGTCAAGGGCAAATACCATCAGAATGCGACGAACAAACCAGCGCGCAAGGCGCCGAAGAAAGGAATTAACACCAACAAGAAACGCGCGGTTTTTAATGCCAGAGTGAAGAGGTAGCGGTTTCCCTGTACGGCTGTTGGCGCTTGCTGAGCGGTGAACAGAAACTGCTGTCAAAATGCGTATTTTAAAAGGGTGTCGCCACAACGTGCAGCCGTTCGGTCGGCGGTCAGCTGGTTGGTTTTACTGGGATCTGTTCGCCACAGTTAAATTATTTGAAAAATTATTCATAAATCTGCATAATTATGGATCCCGCTTTACCAACCGAATTATTGATTTCTGAAATTTAATTTTAATAAATACCATTATTATTTTATATTTAAATCATAAACATTCATTTATGAAGTGAAGAAACGGCGTCTTGAATGAACATGGTCCGTGCAGCTTTCAATACGGCGCAGGATCTCTAATTTCCTGTATCGTCCTCATTCACGCTTGTTTTCGAATGCGTTGCATCTGGCTGTGCTTTGGCAGTGTGCAAAATCTCAGTTTTATTTTCTCCTCAGCCGCAGTGCGTAGAAGTTCTCTGCATCGTTCGTTAATCAACTTAATCTTAACAGTTAATTGTCAGGCTCAGTTAACAATCGGTTACAAAATATTTTGACCTTCGTTCCACTACGAGTTTAATTTATTTTAATCCCTGGGTAATTCTTAACGTTCTCCCCGTTAGATTGAACGCCAAAATGGTGCGCAAAGCGTCAGACAGTGGGAAGCCCCGCGGAAAGATGTCCGCCTACGCATTCTTCCTCCAGACCTACCGCGACGAGCTGAAGCAGAGAAATCCCAATGAGTCGGTGAATTTTGCGGAATTCTCCAAAAAATGCGCGGAAAAATGGAAGGTAAGATTCGTCTTATTCTGGCGGAGAACGCCTGAAAATAATCAGAAATAAAAACCTGTTTTGCGGATAATTGCGACGGTCGTTGTATCATCCCTGTACGGTGTTGTAGTATGGTAATGGCAGTACATCGAGAAGTGTTGATTTGCGCCTAGTTGTTTGAAAGCTTATTTTCGAGAGATTTTCCAATTGTTTTTGCGGTTGTTTAGAATATGTCGGAGGTTCAGAAGAAGCGCTACAACGATATGGCCGCCAGTGACAAACTGCGTTACACCAAAGAAATGGCCAACTACAAGCCACCTCCCGGCGAACGCGGTGGAAAGCGCAAGCGCGGAAAGAAGGATCCCAATGCGCCGAAGCGGGCTCTGTAAGTCAGCGCCAACGGCGAAAATTCCATAATTTTTTTTAAATTTATCATTCCTTGTTTCCTTTTTCTCTTTTCCTTAAGTTTTTTCTTGCACGTTTTCGACTAAAATGATTTAATCAATAAAATTAATGGCGATTTTTGCGGGAAAATTCCTCTGTATTTTCTCAAATTATACTTCTTACCGTTCATTTCTTTTTTGACAGCTTCTATTTTGCAACCAGCTATGAACTAATAACTTTATTTAAATTTTTACAACAGGATTTTATTCGGCTGAATTTTATGGAAATTTTGTGGTGAATTATTGTCGTTTAAATTTGCGGAGTTTTCCATTTTTCTTGTATTTTTGCGCAGGTCGGCGTTCTTCTGGTTCTGCAATGACGAGCGCCCGGCCGTGAAGCTGGCGCTGAACAACACCAACCAGGTCAGCATCATCGCCAAGGAGCTGGCGCGTCGCTGGGGTCTGATGCGGCCGGAGCAGCGCTCGCGCTACGAAGCCCTGGCGCAGAAGGACAAGGAGCGCTACGAGAAGGTACGCCGCACAAAATCATTCTCCCTTTATTGGCATTTAATTGATTTTTATCTATGTCAAGTTGAATAATAATTTTCTGATTATCTGTAACTATTTTAACCGTTTGTTGTGATTATATTCGTATTCGATAAGCAGAATATTCTATGAATTACGTAATTTTACTGATGGGAAATAATTAATAATAAATAATTTAGAATATTCTCCTGGTAGTTACTAGCAGGCAGGCTGAGGCAGCATGACTGCATTCAGTTTGGTTTACGAGATTAATAACGTTTTATTTGGTAGTTTGAATTGGTGTTGTATAATTTCTTCTATTTTTTTCAGCTATTCACTTGAAAAGCAATTTCTCGTAAATTCGTAATTCAGATTAATACGAGATTAAAAATAAATTAGAACTATAAACGGTAGTAATTAATACTGATTAAAATGCTGATGGTAAATCTTGTAAATTTCCCAATAAAATTCAGTAGCATTGAAAGCTGAATTAAAAACTTCAGTTAGCCATAGGTAAATGAAAAAGCCTAAATGATTAAATGGAATTTCGGAGAATTATTTCCAGGTGAACTACAAACGATTTAAAATTGTATTACCGAGATTTATAAATATTCTTCTATAAGATACTGGTAAATTCATAACATTCATTTGAAAAGCAGGAATTAATTAAAAACATGTACAGTGTACACAAATAAATGTGCAAAAAATTAACCGAATTATAAAAAAATTAATAAATTCCAAAATAATTCAAAATAAAATTTTAAATGAATATTTGTGTAGAAAACAAAGCGTACATTTCAGAAATATTGCTTATAAATTCGTCGTAGATTAAATTCAGTAACAATTATAACCGAATTAGATGATTTATAATCTTCTAAATTAATTTTAGAATAACCTCAAAAAATAAATAAAATTGAAGACAAATTGTTTGCGTAGGAAAACAAAGCGTACAAGCAGCGGATGGGTCTGCCCCTGGGGCCCAAACGCGGGCCGGCCGCCGTGGCGCAGACCAGTGCGATGGTGCAGCAGCCCATGGAGGATGACGACGATGAGGACGATGAAGATGACGAGGACGACGAGTAGACTGGACGTTAACCGAAGCGGAGCAGCACACACAGACAGCAGTATATTGGCACTGTGTTCCATATCGTAACGACGCCCGTGGTTTCCCCCCAAAAACATTAATCCCTTTATTCCTGTTATTTTATTGTATAGTTGCGAAACGGCCCGAGCTCCCGCCTCGCGGGGCGGTAGACAGTGGCGACGAACAATTGTTGCTTTTTAGCTGTTGGATCTCGTGGAGACGAATTATGTTATGTTGTTTCCAGTGGCAGAGTGAGGCTGCGTTGACATAGCGTGGAGTACTGTATTATTGGGTATTATAGTGGCATCGAGTATAATTCGAAGGTTTAATTCGTGGCGGTATTTTTAGAGGCATTTTGCGCGCGGGTCTCTGTCCATATCATTTGTTGAATAAATTCCGAAATTCGAATGCTTTAAGAATTTCTCCTGGATATTGTAAGAAAAATTCAGTAGTAATTCTCTAAAAATCAAAATTTGTTAGGAGACAATTTTCCCAATGAAAACTTAATTACTGCTTTTTGGTAAATAACGATAATATGAGTTTTATTCGGAAATTAATTAAATGCGGTATTTCTAAAAGCATTTGGCGTCTCTGAATAAATTTCGAAATACGAATGTAATGCTGCACAAATTCCTGTACATGCTACCGTAAGCATTTTCTATAATTATTAATTAATTATATTTTAGAATTATGTCTTAAAAGTATAACTGATTTGGGCAAATTTACCACTGAAAAAATTAATGGTCGTTTTCAAATTTAATGGATAACTTATTACCATAAATTAAATAATTTCCTTAACGATTTTAAAAAAATTCCAGTTTATTACAAGTAGGATACAAATTTACAATTGAAAACATTAATTGCCGTTTTTAAATTACTTTGATAATAATATTGCCATAAACGGATAATAGCAACTAATTTTTATTGTCATTATTCCATTTTTCAAGAGGCCAATTCGCTAATGAAATTTAATTACTCTGCAGCTTTTCGCATAAATTAAGGTAGCGCGGGTAAACAGTAATTCCATGTTTATTTCGTGGCGGTATTTTAAGAAGCATTTGCGCGGGTCTCTGTCCATATCAATAAATTTTGTTGAATAAATTCCGAAATATGACAGTAATGCTTCACGAATTTCTGCTGAATATTGTAAGAATATTTCAGTAATAAATCTTAAAAATCAAAATTTATTAGGAGATAATTTTTCCAATACAGAATTAGTTACAGCTTTTATGTAAGTTACGATAACAGGAGTATTATTCGGAATTTATTTCATGAAGGTATTTTTGCAAGCATTCGGGTCGCGGATCTTTTTCCGTATCGGTTGTTGAAATAATTCGGAAATGCGAATGTAACATGTGAAGGCCGATAGCTCCGCCTTCATGATTGGCCATTCGCCATTGTGTTTTGCTGTTCTGGGGATTTCCATCCCACACATTGCTGCTGTTTTGACGGACCTACAGCACAGCTGCGCTGGCTGTAGGATCCGATCTCATTAGTCTGGTGTTGCTGCGCCACGGTGCGCGAGTTAGATTTCGGCATTAAAGCCTCAATCCGGGTTCGCCGCTGTTTCGCCGTCGAAGGTACGTGGGCGCCCATAAGGCCCCACGTAACAAACACTCCTCAGATTTCTACCGAATAATATTATAAGGATATTTCCCAAAATTTAAATTTATATTGAGGCAAATTTATCAATGAAATATATTCGCTTGCCGAGCCGTGTTTCCAGTACGTAATTTATTAGTTATATAATAAATTTAAAAAAAGTATTTCTGTCACAGTTCTCTAAAATCGGATTCTTTAGGAGGCAAATCTACCAATGGAAGACGGAAGTTTAATTACGGTTTTTAGGTTATTATGATTATTGGGTACCAATGTACCGTTAATAAATATATTTCTGTAACAATTCTGCAAAAATCATGTTTTTTTTTAGTTAGGAGGTAAACTTACCAATGAAAAATTCAGTTATCGTTCAATTATCAGTTTAGATTTTTAGGATAATTTATTACGATAAACCAAAAATACTTCTGCCAGAATTCTTTAAAAATTAAATTTATTAATTATTGGGAGGCAAATTTACAAATGAAAATTAATTGCGCTTTTTAAACTGTTACAAAATAAATATCAGGACGATAAATCAAAAATGGCAGCTAGCGTACGGGCATTTGGAGCGCGGAAAATACTGTCCATACATACTCCATATTATTTGTTGACTAAATTCCAAATTACGAATGTACATAGGCGCCAGTGTTCTAACGCCGCATAAATTCTTATTAAATGTACGTTTACAAGAATATTTCTAAATTATTTCCTAAAGAAAAAGTTACAAATTAAAATTGTATTGAAAAATTAAAAATGTATTTAAAAATTATCAATTTTTTTAAAAGTTAATTATTAAATATATTAAAAATTAATTAAATTTATTTAAAAATAAAAACTGTATTTAGTAGCTATAAATTAAAAAACTGTAAAGTTAAACGAACTCTGGATGTTATAAAATGTAGCTTTTTCGCTTGCTCTCGCTGGTTTTCTTACTGACAACTGTTTAATCCGGTTTCATCAATAAAGCAATTGCCATTTGATAGCCAAATTAAAATTGTATTTACGTGCCAATAAAAAAAGCAATGATTTTAAAATATTTCAACAACCATTATCATTTGTTTATAATATTGTACTAGATGTGTACCGGGCGTTTTATGCGGTCGTACACATTCTAAAATTTCTAATAATAATTTTTTCGTTTTTCGTTAGCGTTTTTTCGTTTTTCGTTTCATTTTACCGGTCCTGCTTGCACAAGTAATCATTGCCCGGCAGTTGCGCCCGCGCGTAAAGAATTATTATTACAGTTACGATACAAAAATGCAGCTTGGCTCAGCACGAAACATCTTGTTGCGCAAGCGGTATTTGCTACTGATTTATTACAACAAAAATCGGCAAAATTTCTTGCTAATTTTAGAACGGCTACTGAAAATGTCATTTATTGGTAAAAAGGATTGGGAATTTTACTGACAATGAAGCTACATTATTCAGATTCAACCCATCCACAGTCCAACATTTGGAGGGGCCACTACGCTACGATTACTCTGCACTCTTACGCACTTTCTCAGCCGTTAACGGAGTTTTACGAGCAAGCGGCATAAGCAATTAAAACATAATCAAGTAAGCCAATTTTCTCGTATAACGGTATAATCAATTAAAATTGTGTATGCGATGACTCCTTGTTAGAGATTATTTAATTGCAGTTGCTAATTTTTGTTTGTTACTGCATTTTCTTAAGAAGCCGTTTTATTTTTTGCTTATAAAAAGAGTTGAGTTTCAATTTTAGCTAACACGAAATCGCTATCTCCGAAATCCGATATCGGTGAGTACTGTTTCAAGTTGCTTGTCAGCCGAGAAAATAATTTTTTCTTAAATTCGCATAATTACAGTAATCATCGTTATTTTTTTTAAATAACGATAATAATTATAATGTTGATCGATGATATAGTTCGTACATGATTTCATGGATTAACTAGTAGGCTGATTTTATTTCAGTAATTTTCATCAGAAATTAATTAAGAAAAAGATGATTTACAGTAATATTAACGTTAACTGAGGAAAAGATGTTAATTTTATAAATTAATGTTCCCTGTTCGGTGTTTCATAAATGCCGGTAAAACTTGAGTTGACAGTTGGCAGTTTTATTACACCGATTTCATAATACCTCACAGGTACTCACCACTGTCCTCCGTCAGGATAAAATGCAAGACGAAGTAAATCGAACAGATTTCACTGCTTAATTCTACGCCGGAAATAGCGCGCACCGTGTACCATAAACAATTTGGCTAGCGGCGAGATATGACCTTATATTATTTCGCGAAGACTGAAGAGCATCTGAATATCGCAGGTTTGGTGGTAAACATCGCGACACCTCCACAATAAGCAGACAGTGCCCTTATTAATATCTGCGAAAAAAGCGCTAGACAAGAAATTTTCGTGTGAAAATTGCACTTCAAAATTTTCTGTGCAAGAATGTGATAAATCAACTTCCAGGTTCGATTGAACGGCGAACATTTATGGCGCGAGTTCTATTCAAAATGTGTCAGATCGTTTAAGTAATTTCGGGGGCGCGAGGTTGTTATTGCCAAACTTTTATTCACACTACTTGCGCACAAAATCTGGAAATGCGAACTGTTTTCCTCACTGCGACTTTGAATTATGACGTCTATATTTAATACCTTATTTATATTATACTGCTTTGTACAGATGTTTGTTGTTATATTATTTTGCTGTAATAATTATATTCTCCATTACTTTTTTCATAGGTAATACAAAATACTTAAATTAATATTGTAGCCTACTGTATTTTCAGTTTATCAGAACAAGCGTTTTTTTTATAATTTCGTGACCAGTGGTCCATTACCAGATATTTTTAAAATTAGATGCGCTCCGTATATGTTGTAGAAAGTACGCAATTCAGGTTACCGTTGTCTATAATTTTAATGTTATTGCATTACACACTGACACTGTTACTCGCAATTATTTCCAGTATGTAACAAATGAATTGCGGTTGCGGAGATCTATTAACCATGAAGAACTGATTGTACGTTTTCGAAAACCTTCACTTCAGATGTACATACTTGAATGAATATGCCGGTATTTTCTTATTTCTGCATTTGCTATGTTTTTTGTATACAGTATGCGCAACTCAGCGCAAGTACTTATTTAATACGAGTAGTACTGTATTTAATTGTCTCTGCATATCGCAAGTAGTAAGACTCAAAGTAGCTGCACAGGCAACAGTGACGCACTGGCGATAGAATCCCGCGCGAAGTTCGTAGTGCAACGGCATTAATGCGGAAACGTGACCAATCGATGTCATACCATCATGTTATGACCATATGTATGTACTGGTTTTCATAAATTTAAATAACCGTCAGATCAGACTCGTCCTTTCTTATATGAAAATTTTTAGTGTGACGGCACATGCTCTTTTTGCTCCAATTACGATAACTGCATGAGGCCATATACACAGCCTAATAAAAATATTTTTAATTTTTTCCTTGTCGGTATATTTGATGCGCGCGTCGCATGGTCGATCTACTGATTCCATTTAATTAATTAATACACAGCGTACACGAAAAAGCGCTACCAGTGCGCTTACGGCAAAGTAAAACATATGACGTAAGTACTTTATACAACCGCATGTAAGGAAGACAATTAGTAATTGCGTAGCGTAGAAACATATGCAGTAGCCGGTTAATTAAGCGCCGAAATTGAACTGAAAGGATCTTTTTGTAGTTATTGCTGTGGTGTATAAAAATAAATTCAAATCGACTAGTCAAAGCGGTTGATTAAGCAAAATGTGAATACTAGAAAAAAAGTAGATTATTATGGCGAATTAATTCACGGAGGTCACCAGACAACCGGTCGGTTCCATTTCTCATGGAATTCCTGTTCGGCCGCCAGACTGTACATGGAGCGTTCCACCGGCGACAGGGGCGGTCGTTCCGGGGTGTACTTGTACTGGATAATGTCGGTTTTCTTCGGGGATGTACCGAAATTTTCTTCCGGCAGGATGGGAATGATCGGAATAACCGGGACACGGGCCTCTTCTTTGGCCGGGTGTGACGCGGTGCCGGTGAAGTATGAGGAGCGGCGCGCTAACGGGCTCCATGAACCGGCCGGCTTCTTTTTCTCCTTACGCACTTCCGATCTGCAATAGTATAATAATTTTAATCAGAGAAACAAACAAACCGCTTACAATTTTTAAAGGTACCAATAAGCTTTTTTAATTAAATGAGATACAATAATGATTGGGAATGTACTATAATAAAAATCTAATTTTTTAAAATTAATTCTAGTTTCCATCCGGCCTAATTCTGTGGGCGTTTTCGTAGTATTACTATTTTCTAATAAATGATTTGCTTTCGTCGAAGAACAAATGTTTGGTCTTCTTGAACACGAAATATGTATACCGCAGCATGAATTAATTTTCACTACCTTTGAATAACAAAATTCTTTTAATACTGTATTTCTATGACCGATTTTGAACATGTCAATCACGGTCGACAATATCATGATTGTCAGGCTGTGATATCACCAAGTGACAAACCAGAGACCTCTGACAAAAGCTTGGTGACCAGCAGAAAAATACGTTTGTGGAACGAAATAAGCATCGCGTGACTCGATTCGGAAGAAGCTGAGTAAATTTTAAGAAATTGATACAAAAATGATTCAGTATGATCGATCATACAGGATAAAAAAAACGTAACGATTTAAGGGTTATTGTGAATAACACGTATCACGTGTCACCAAACGTACGAAAAAAAGTGCTGAAAAAAACTGTCATTGATACAAAAACTTTTAATTGGGTGAGCAAGAACGTTGTTATGAGCACCAACGTGATTAATCCGGCACATGTGATTACTCAACCACTTGCTACAATATCAAATGGCGTTTTTAATTGGGAAACACCGGTCCGTCAGTAATTTTTGTTCCTCAGTTTTAAATGTTTATGTGTGACTAGCTGTTTAATTATGACAGCCAATCCACGGACCGCGGATATGAATACCGCAGTCACTATAGTAAGCGCTTAATAAAATCATGGAGTATGAAAGTTGAGGAAAATTTTACTACGAGGAAAATTCAGAAAATTTTACTCGTACATAAAAATCAAAGCCGAATTTATAAAAAAAACACGTTATTCGGTTTAAAGAGAATGATAGAATATTCTTATACATATGTATATAGGATAATTAATTGCACAATTTATATCTGTACCAGTAAACGAAGCACGTACGAAGCAGAATAAAATATACTGCCAAATGATAACAGCATTTACTCGTACTAAAAATTTTTTTTTAATATAGCAGCATAATTTTTTTATTTGTACATACGTGTTGTATTCGGATTCGCTGGAGGACGATGATCGCAGCGACTGGCGTTCACTGAGCACCGGCGGAAAGCACTGACCGACACCGCCCGCCAAATCCACACATCCGCCAAATAAATCCATTATTTTATTCGATTTCGTGTAGAAGGCAGTAATTACAACTTAAGGTCCGCAACAATGCACAACGTATCTTCCTGTAAAATTCTTCAAAAGCGAGATGCAAAAATTAATATTCTAATATATATCAAACGACCTCAAGTAAACGATTAAGTAAACGCAATGCAGCACAGAATTTGAGAAAGCGTATAACTGCAGGTTTATTTACGAAAAGCGTGTCATATCGCTGTTGTTTATATACAACCATTTATATAGCTTTTTTGGTGGATGCCCGCGGGGCATAGTCATGCGCGAGGATAGTGGTAAGAACGTGTGATTTATGCCGAAACGTCCGTAAACCAAAGAAACACAAGGTTTGTACGAAAATATCACCGAAGCCGCTTTATGCATCTCGGAGTAAACACACGCCTTTCTCAACATTGCATTTCTAATTTCTCCATGTTCTGACACGATACAGCCATAATTATACCGCGAACAAATTAACGCTTAAGCATTTTTGTGCAGGAAAGCGCGGTGTTCTTGTTAAATCGAATTTGCTTTGCACCACTAGGAATAACGTGATTGTACCTTAATTTTCAGTGCTGTAAAATTGTACAGGAGTTTATTTTCGTTAGCGTTACTGTGAAAGATAGACAAATGTTTATTTTAATGGGTTTAAAAGTTTATTTTGCAAGTTCCCATAAATGTGAGAATTTCCCCGGTCAACGCACACACACAGTAACTGGCGCCTGGCGGAGACAAAATAATGTTTCAAAAAAATGAATTTGAATAAATAAAATAATTACTTTGTAAAAATTTATTTAGTAAAGTAAAAAATTAGATTAAATTATTATTAATAGTCAAATAATTTTAATGATCAATATACAAAAAAGAAAAATGTAATAATTGTTGATAGTCTGTCTTATGTTTGTGGAGGTCTTCTGCATTTTTTCTTATAAGTTTAACCAGATTGATCACAGGCGGCGTCAAAGATCGAGTTTATGGCGCCTCTGCGACTGCGACTGCAAGATTTACGAATCGAAACAGCCAAATCTGACCCCGAGAATGATCTACCGGCTGGGTGCAGGTGATGTTGTTCCCAGAAGCGGTTTCGGCTAATTTTATTGGATAATGGGCACCAATTAACAAGCAATTAGTGGCAGTACCGACTGCGTAATTCTGGAGTTACTAGTAACAATTTGATTCATTCAGAATTTTGCACGAAGGATTGTCTTATCTTTCCGAAGAATCAATTAGCTCATATGACCGGTTATTTTGATCTACGACTTACACGAGAATATACAGATATACTGTACTCGTATATATAATTATTATGTGGTGTAGTTAATACAGAAGTACTGAAGTACTTAACTGTACTGTCTGTACATGTTTTCTCAATCAGAAATAATGAATCACAGTAACTTTCTGCTAATTTCTGCAGCACACTAACACAGTTATACTGCAGAAATTAGCAGAACGTAAATGTGATTCATTATTTCTGATTAAGAAAATTGGTAATGTTAACTAATTTTGAGCTTTGAAATGAAATTAACCGGAATCTGTATAAACGCGCAAATACTGACCCTGTCTATTAACGTGTTGCACAAATAAGTTGTGTACGTACGTATACTAACGTATACAGCATAGCTATTATATTTTGTAACAGCAGCCGCGCGGTTCTGCTACTGTTATAGGTGTGAAGGCTGGCACGGTTGGCAGCGGTGCTGACCGGAAGTTGACTACCCTTTATATACTGGTGACCATGGGGATGCGCTGACATCCAGCTCAAGGTCATTGCAAGAGTTTATTAACTAGAATCTGTACGTGTAGCAAAATTAAGCGGCGCGTGCAAGAAAGTCTGTTGAGCAAGAGGAGCATAAGCAGAGAGAAACAAGCGCGGAAGTCACGGAGCAAGATATCGGGAGAAAGAATAAGTTAACAAGTTCAGAGCAGGCTGCAGCAAGAATAATTTCAAGATGATCCTGACCGTGATCGAGATGTGGTCGGTAAAATAAAAAAAAATTTGGATCCGACGCTCCATAACACACTAGCCAGTTAACAGCAAAGCAAGGTACTCGTAATTAACAGTTTAATTTCGCACCCCTACTGGTGGTAAAATATAATCTAATCTCCAGAGCAGTGTCACAATATTAATTTTATATTATAAATTAATAAGGTACTGGTACTAGACTTCATGTTCGGTACGAGTTCGTACCTTGTAATAATGCACAACACAACATATATATATATATAAATATATATATATATATATATATATATATATATATATATATATATATATATATATATATATATATATATATATATATATATATATATATATATATATATATATATATATATATATATATATATATATATATATATATATATATATATATATATATATATATATATATATATCAAGGAAAAGATCTATATTACAACGGAAAACCCCGTACGATCCTGCTACCAATAACCAAAAAAGAAAACGAAAAACCGCTAATGCCATTCGATTCGGCATGTCTGGAAACTGTGTCACATGCATTTAGATTTAAAAAAAAATCTTCCGGTATCGATACCGACATCCGTATCGATACCGGCATCCGCTCAACAGGAAGTTCAAGGTGACCTTGAATAAAACCATTAAAAATACTGGTATATCACAAGTTGCTTAGAACTACAAAGAAAATAATAATAAACCTAATAATAATTTTCAAGTTCACACGGTTCTGCCGGTTTTTGGTAACAGCGTTAATGAAATGCCGAAAAGAAAAAACCTTTTCAGTAAAGAAACATTCTTACGCCGAAAAAAGCGGAATACCATCAAGGCAGCCGAGTATAAGCAGATTTTTGTGAAAGATGTCAGACCAAACGCTAAAGCTCGCCACAAAACTGGAAGCGGAAATGAGACCACAAATTTCCGCAACAAAAGTGCTTTATTCTTACGGACCATCAATGCTAACCTACAGTGGAAATCCTGCGACCGCTGCTCTGCTGATTGTCTAACCACTGAAAAAACCGTATCATTATGCTGTAATAAGTATGGAAAACATCCAGAGAAGCTTATAGATCTGCCAAAAATACCGAGCCGCTACCTCAAATTCGCACAGAAGTCATTTGATTTTCAAAAGCACTGTCGGAAGTACAACAATTATTTTGCCTTCTCAGCAACCGGATGTACTGGACAGTTTAAACCGGTCATGCAAGGATTGTCAAGCCTCATCTTGATGAACGGAAAACTTTATCACCGAATGCTTAATGGTAAATTAAAGTAAATTAAAAAGTAAATTAAATTAGTTGAAATAACTTGAAGTAATAATTGTACTAATAATTGTAATTCAAATTATTATTCGAAAAAAAATTATTGATTACGTACAAAATTATTAAAAATTACAGGAAACGACAAACGTGGTCCTTTACGTTTTTTTATCCACGATCAAAGTTTCCTGCAAGAAGACATGAAACAGTTCAAACTATCTAAAACAACTATCCAAATGATAAAGAAAATTTTGGATGATCATAATCCAGTCTGGAAGCAGTTTAAGCAGTTGTCAGAACACTGTTCCGAAGAAGCGAGACTGGAATTGCATGAGACACCATCCAACGAAATAGCAGCAATAATTGTTGCCGATAAAACCCAACCACTGCAAGAACGAGCCATTGTGTGCTGGAAAAAAACGGAGCTTGCACCAAGATTTATCCGTTCCACTTCGAATTTATATTTACCATTACAGTACGTATTGGTCTGTCCCTACGGTGAACCAGGATGGTCGGTAAGCTACAAAGCAAAGTACAATCTGACCCAATTGGCTTATTTCCGGCAGTTTATTCTGCGTCACAAAATACTGCAGTACCTTGGGGCACTGCTAAATGAGATTTTAGTTGATGGATACAGTTCCGTTGAGGAAGAAAGGCTGGACTTCATTAGAAGAAATCAGTTACGGTACATTAACGAACAGGATCTGTTGTTTGATGAGACCATTCAAGCGGACGGCCCCAGCGACTCCAGCCGGACATACCTTCCAGAGAGCTTTCTCGGTTCAAAGCGGTCTCAACGTAAACGTACAGCCGAAGCTCTCGCTATTACATAACGCTACGGTAACCCTACATTTTTTATCACAATGACAGCCAATCCGAAGTGGCCGGAGATTGTAGAAAAGCTGCATTCGAAACAAACAGCCACAGATCGACCAGAAGTTACAGTACAAGTGTTCCACGCAAAAAAATCGCAACTTACACGATCTTCCCATTTAATCCTTAACGGGAAAACTAAAATTTACTGCATCGAAGTGACTGAATTCCAAAAGCGGGGCCTTCCTCATGTCCATATAGCTCTGAAAGTCGAAAACGAACCCACGACAATGAGTGACATTGACCTTTTAATCTCTGCTGAGCTACCAATGCCGGAAAATGGAGATTCATACAATTTGGTGTCCACTTACATGATACATCACCATACGCAGCACTGCTACAAGACTGATTACCAAATCAAGCACAAAATGTAAGACTCAACTTGGTGCAAATACGTGTTAATATCTCAAATCTTTAAAATAATAACAAATAATACGGAACATACTTTGATATTGTTCAGATGCCGGCATAATTATCCAAAACCAGTGAACCCCTTCACCTATAAAGATCACCGAGGACATATACATTACCGGCGGCGATCTGAGAGGGACCAGTTCGTCGTACCTTATAATCCAGAGTTGTTACGGATATTTCGCTGCCATATTAACGTCGAAATCTCAAGTTCGTACCATATAATCACTTATCTATACAAGTACTTCTACAAAGGTCCAGACTACACAAAGGGCAAAATTCTGCTGGACGAAATAGAACAGTACATCAATGCGCGATACCTGTCAGCAATGGAAGCCGCTTATCGCATGTTTGAGTTTCCACTAACTAAAAGATATCCGTCTGTCCATTCCTGCCCTGTCCATCTCCCGGGAAAGAAGTACATAGTTTACGAAAGAAACAACAGGAGCGCAGCGCACGATTCGGTCTCATTATTAGAACGCTACATGCAGCGACCAAAAGACGAATGCTTCGAGCAGATAACATATCTGCAGTACTACGAGAATTACAGTACATCCAAAACATGCCCGAAAGGACACTGCTGGAAAGATGAAGTTCCTTCACCACACAGTCACTACGTGACTAAACGAACTTCGGACCATGTCGCACGGATGGATATCAAACGTCCCGCTGCCGGTGAAGTGTATTATCTCCGACTTTTGCTGCTACACAAACCAGCCCGTTCCTTCTCGGAACTGCTCAATGTGGATGGAACTGAACACGAAACATTTTCCTGTGCGGCAGTTGCGCTCGGTTTAACCGATCAGGATGATGAGTACATACTTTGTATGGAAGATGCTGTAAAGGCTTACCGTGATCCGTACGAGCTAAGAACTTTGTTTGTATTGCTGATCAACGAAGGAGCACCAGCTCTCACTATGTACAATCGATTCAAGGAAGCAATGCACCGCGATTTCCGAATTTTTGACCAATTACAGGAGGATCAAGCTGAGCAAAAGTTGTTGCAGGAAATTGGATTAAGACTTGACCATACTTCAAAAACATTAAAGGATTTCGGGCTTCCTGATGTATCTTACGACCCATCCAAGGTCTATAACATCGGAGTGCTAAAGAAACGATCAGCACAGCAACAGGTCACCTTTAATAGCCAGCAACGTGTCATATTTAACACAATAATCGACTATGCTGTTAACGGAATACCTGGGTGCTTTTGTGTCGACGGTAGCGCTGGAGTAGGAAAATCCTACTTACTTCAAGCCATTATCTCACATCTGCGAGCTCTCTCGATCGCAACAGAATGCTGTGCATCTACAGGATTCGTAGCGCGCACATATGAAAACGGAAAAACCGCTCATAATTTGTTTGGCATACCCGTACGAGAAGATCCATCCGATTACGAAAAATTAGAATCTTCTCTTACTTTGCGATCAGTGAAAGGTCAACTATTGGCACGGACACAGGTGATCATCTGGGATGAGTTTTTAAACTCGCATAACGAAAACCTAACTATTGCTGATGAAATACTGCGCAAACTGAAAAACAAACCTGATATACCTTTTGGAGGGATTATTTTGGTTGGAGCAGGCGATGCAAAACAAATCCCTCCAGTAATAGAGTATGGTACCAAAGAAGACATGATACGAGCGTCTATGATTTTTCACGACCTATGGGAGCTTTTTCACGTTTTTACACTCAGTATCCCGATGAGACAGTCCGAGGATCCTGCATTCTCCAGACTGCTCGAACTTATTGGTAATGGAGACTACCCAACTGATACGGATGGACGAATCGTCCTGGAAAACTTCAAATTCACTACAGATCCCAATCAGCTCCGTCAGTATGCTAATACTTCAAGAATCACACATACATGTCACCCTGCCAGCACTGCAATCCTTTCAGTTACGAACGATATTGTGGACAACTTCAATGCAGAAATCATGGATCAATTGATGGGAGAATACTTTGATTTATACAGCACCGACATTCCGCAGATCGAGAAACAAGCAGGTAGTGACAATAAAATAACTAATATTTATTTACTACATAATACCTATTTACTTACCTTGATATTTCAACGATTACTTAATACTAACGGTACTTACACTTACTTGCTTAGTAGTACCTACTTAATACTTTCTTTCTATAGTACTGTACTTGCTTGATACTGTATGCTATCATAGAAATACTCATAATACTTACCTAACGCGAAATTCATCATGCGAATGTAAAGAATACAGTGCCGACGTTAAACACGTAGTCCACGTACTTACAAAACTTACAGTATCTCCGTGCTTGCAGTACTACAATAACATTTTTTTTCAAAAAACTGCTGCTTTTTAGATCTGGATGAAACGTTCTGCCATAATTTCAATTTGCCAAATTTCCCCCCGCACATTTTGAAACTGAAAATCGGTGGCGAATGTTACGTCACGCGAAATCTTTCCCCTGAAGACGGCTTGCTCAACAACGCGTCCGTTAGGATAGAAGAAGTTGCCAGATACAGAGTAACCGTTAAACTATTGTCTACCAATAGGATATTTCAAATTCCCAGAATATCCTTCAGAATGAATATCAAAAGAAAAAAATTAACTTTCATTCGCAAGCAATTTCCTTTACGAGTTTCTTATGCGAAAACTGTCAACAGAGCACAAGGTTCGACAATGCTTAAATGTGCATTAGATCTTAGAGTAGAACCATTTGCACATGGTCAGCTTTATGTCGCTTTGAGCCGAGTTCAAAAGTCTGCAGATCTATTGATTTTAGTTTCACCTGATATGGTCATTGGTCCTAACAAGTTTATGGTAAGAAATGTTGTGTATAAGGAGCTCCTCTTGCAAAAATAAGAATAATAAAATCGGTTAATCAACATTATGATTTACGAGTAATTCAAGTGTGCAAGTACCGGTTAAAAATTGATACGAGTATTTGTACGAGTAGTAAAATAGGACTGTTTTTTATTTATTGGTATCTAAGCAACAAACTGTTACGGTGTACTACCTAAAGCTTTAAATTAATGCTCTGGAATAACTAAAGCTTTCAAGACTCCAAGAAATCTTCGCTGAATTTAAGTCCACGTACAACGTGTACAAGTGATGTACATAAACGTTACAGTTATTGCAACGTAAACTAAATGATAGCGCTCCGTATACCACCCAGCTCAGTCTCAGTGTGCCTTAATTCCGTTACCAGATGACTTTGTGTATGAGATCAATCCTTTACCTCTAACCGATACGATCAGCCCAAATGACTTTACTACTATTCAATCTGCAACATCTGGAGATTACAGGTACACACCCTGAAGGAGTATGCATTAATAACCTTTCAAAGTTCAGATGAAATTAATCTTTTCTGTACAAAACAGGTTTATCTAAGCACTTTTAATAGGAAAATTATACGTATCATATAATTTTAGTGCGATCCAACTGATCCTTATATCAATTAAGAAGCCCTACACCGCTTCAAATGGAAAGCAAATAGTTTACATTGTACTCGGTGACCGGACAGGCACTATGAATGGTGCAGTATTCGACAATGCCATCACCCAGCTTCATATTGCAAAGTACCACCCTGGCGACGTATGCGTTTCTGCCTTTCATTTATATTGTAACACTAATTATACAATACCACTTATTATTAAATTGTATATTATTGTCAATATTTTTAGTTACTTCAATTCCGCAACGTATCCATCCGACCCAATCAAAAACAATACCAGCGCTGGGCGACATCGCAGCTCCAAATTAAATTCAACAACAACTCGACAATCGCCAAAGTGAACGGACAACCGCTACTAACGCCTCTTGCAGAGCTGGAAACCTACTTAAAACGCCCCGCTCTAACAAAAAGTCACGGTATTAAACAATTTTATTTGCCTAGAAATTTTCAAAGAGCTTTTATAATATCCCATTAGGTTTCATGGCATTTATCGATTCGGTTATCTCAGCAAAAGAACAGCAAGGAGTTACTGTTCTTTCGGTATTGGATCACAGCATTTCCGCCCCAATACAAATTGAAGTGGAGCTTCCAATGGTACACAAAAATTCTTCCATCAATTTATTAACAACTTTAAATTCTGCTTACTAATAATCCTCTTCATTCACTTAGGCGGAACTTTTCAATACATATTATGAAAAAAAAATTTGCATTTTCCAAAACCTTTCAATTGAAAGCCGCAAACTGAGGTGCAAAAATCAAGAAACAATTATTTGGATCGATACCGGTAAGGCAGTAAACTTAATAAAAATCAAACATTTGATAACTCCCTTACTCCCGGTTTTTTTGGCATCTGGCGCAGGATCAGAGCCCGCACGTGCCCTCGTCAGCAACTTAATCGCTGCGAATTACATTGACGATTACAACTTCCTCGACCATCCTTCTCCTGAAGAAATACAACCAACTACCAGCAAAGACAAATTCCCTTCTCGCACATCTTCGACCAGCTCGACCGAAAAGAAAACACCGACGAAAGAAAACTCCAAGCAAACTAAAAAACGCAAACCGCGCTATCCAAAAACAACAAAGAAACGATAAAGTTTTCTACTTATTTTGTACGGCAAAATTAATGTACATAAATGCTTTGTACGGTAAATTAGTTTTCTCCTTATTTTTTTCCATAAATCGTAAACACTCCGAATTTGAATAAAGTTAACTAAAATCTTACAGCGAATGACAATTTAAAAAATTGTGTCAAAATGTGATCCAAGATCACAAGGAAGCCGAAGGCGAAGCCGGAGGGCTTACTTGTATATATATATAACAAACTCGTGCTTACAAATAATACCATAATAAGAAACAATAGTAAAGCAATGATAGACGTAAGTACTTACGTCTAGTATACTTATTAATAATTTCATAAATTATAACTGGGAATCAAGAACTAAATGCATTTTTAATGAATCCGCTGGCCGCCGTCCATATTTTTGGCCGATGGTTGGCAGATAATATTAAATCAAAATGGTAGACATTTTCTGACAGGACACAATTGAAACAAGTGACATTTCCAATAAAACTGCCCCACACAGGTCAGAAGGAAAACCAAGCTCTTGGTTCGGTTGATACTTATTCAGTCGTGCCGCTTTTAAAATGTCATAATTATGGTTTGTTAAGAAAGCTGTAAGCCGAGTGTTATAAGGTGCCGAAAAAAATTCCAGATAATGAAAAGAATCAAAACGGCCAGCGTCTGCAGGCAGTAAATGCATGTATTTTAATAACAGATTTTAATTCAGAGTGGCCGTTCAAAATATCGGTAGCCAGTACTCAGTAGCTTGCTACAAACATGTAATATAATTAATGGAAAGTAATGATGTATTCTTACGAAGTATTTTTACAAAATACTTTATCTTAATTCGGGACGCCCTGGAACACTAACAGTTTCAAATGGAATCGATATCGACGAAATTCGTATGTCAGCGTATCGCCGTATGAATACGATCGAAAAATTTTCCACGTCATGATCATTTACGTACTTAATACAACTGGGTCAACAAAATATGGATATTCCGCTGATCTACCATTTTATTAAGTAGGAGGTAAATGATGATGATGTGCGAATGGTTTCGCACTGTCTGCAGATATGTTTTATAGAAATATACGAAACATCATGATAAATATTGTTACTATGTTTTTTGGTTTTGCTGCTTATCACATCGTGCATATAGCTTTATAATCTACCTCGTGCGGTGCACGATCGGAAATTGTCGAGTTTGTGCAAACATCGCTGTTGCACAAGCAGCGTCGCATATTTATGTAAAGTAGGTATTTGATTTTAATATAATATAATTTTTTGATGTTTTCGAGTACGGTGTGTCACTCGGTAATTTACTAATGTGCTTGCAGAAGCTGATTAACGATAACATACGTCGAGTGCCGTACACATGACACTATATGTGCAAAGGCAATAATTGCCGGCAAACTACCAGTAGTTAAAATTGTTACGTAATCCCAAAACTGATAATCGCTTATTATATACAGCCAGTACACGTATATTTGTGCATGATGTGCAGCTATGAGCGAGATCATCTCAAAATTCATCTGATTGTCGTTTGTGGCTATTTTAAATTAGGGCTGTATGAGCATGGTATATCGTAGTGCACTGGCATTTGTGTAACCACTTAAACCAAAGACGTAATCGCTATTTCGAAAAGCTTGCTTGATTTTTGCTGTTTCATAACGCTTTGTACCATTTATTATCCTTGTAGAACCGTAACTGTTTTATGTCGTATGCATAATTTGCTTTTTCTCGTTTCGAAATACGAGACCAATTTTAAAACCGTATAATTAAACCAATGTTAAGAAAGTTGGTATCCATGCGATTCTTGCACCACACAGCTGTTTTGAAAACAGCTGTTTCGAAATAAAGTCGGATGAACTCCCAAAGCATATTATGCCAGTATTAATATTAATTGTAACAGTAACAAAATTTCTTCGCCCAATTTTAACCACAGAAATTTCTTCCACGTTTGACTCACAAATTTCTTTCTTACTTTCCTTACTTTCCACATTCGTTCTACCACAACCGAAAAGGAAAAATTAAATGCATGATATTCTGTAGCACAGCTTCAGAATTAATATCGGTAAATAGAAAGGTCAAAAGACAATCTACAGTATATGTGCAAGTAGACGGATATAATGGGTCGCCATATCAGAGTCATTAGAGATTGTTGTTCGTGCAAATTTTGCCGCATATATACGCGCAAAGTAATGGATTACACATTTCTTTGTTCTTTCAACAAATACCGACAACGCCGTAAGTACATACAGGCGGATACGCAGCTCCCAGAGCACGCACACGCAAGTATTAATACAACAGTTTTAAATGTCTGTAGATTTATATGGTGCACATTTATTTCGCAATTTTGCAGCAGTATAACATAATTATTGTATTTAATCTTCTTTTTCTATGCTTAATACCTTTTAATTTACATATCATTAATTTATTGTGCTACGTATAATACTAATCACAGGATGTATTCAAGGGCAAGTTTGATCCATAGAAATACTAAAATATTAACGGAAAGATCATGGGGCGATTCGTCAAGGGTGTATCACGCGGGTCACCAGCTGTCCAGTCATTCCGTTTCTCGTGGAACTCAGCTTCAGCATCCATATTGTACAGGGATCGCCCCACGGAGGACGGTCCTGCTGTTGCGTATTGATAGTGCTCTTCCATTTCTTTCGGGGAAACAAAATTTTCAGTTGGTAAAAAGGGAACACGAAGCTCAGTTCGAGGCGGGTTGGAAGGCGTGCCGGTAAACCAGGACGAGCGGTGGGCCAAACGGCTTAATGAACTAAGCGATTTCTTTGTCTCCTTACGAACTTCCTGACTGCAACATGCAATTACGAAACATTGGTAATAATGATTTCCAGTACAAATGTATTCAGTAAATATGTAATTGCAATATGCCTAATAAAAACATCTTATCTTATCATGCATCTATATGTAAAAGTTACAGCCTAAAAGGATGGTACTTTCACAAATTTCCTTATCCGGGTAACGCAGAATATGTAAAAAACTGACGTATTATGCCACGTTGCAGTACAGCAGAATTAATTGTCAAAACGGGCAAGGAAAACTTACAAATCTTGCAAAGTACCACAGGATATTATGTGTAACATTCTCACACGCACGGATAATTCACCGATTACGGATAATTTCACATTTTTTATAGGCAACATTATTTACACTGTGGTAAATACAATACACTGTGATAAACTGTTGCAATATATATGTGAATTTATTACCGCAGTGTAATAATATTAACACGAAGTACTTTTGAACGTTTTAAGTTTGTTTTTTTCTACAGTGTTTATAATTATTAAACTGCCGAACAAAACACGAAGCAAGAATAAAACATTGTAATGTGAAATTGAAAATAAGATTTAAAATCAAAAACTAAAATTTAATGAGTTCTTAAATAGAAAATTCCTGTTAATTGTAACCGCTGGCAAAGTGTGAAGTAATCTGACAGGTTTGATTGCTGTAATTTCGGACAGTAAAAAAAGAAACGACTATTATACACTTGAAGAAGCAGATGCGGAGCTTAAAGTACGAGTAATAAACAAAGAATTTCTAACAGTAAAGCCTCTGTTGCACCAACTCATTAAAAATTCATTATACATACGTATTGTTGGACGATTCGCTAAAGGATGACGACCGTTCAATGAGTCCCGGCGGAACAACACCGCCCGCCAAATCCACACACCCACTAAACAGGTCCATCGCCATTACAAAATATTTATTACGCTGCAGCTGTCGTTTAATTCCCGATGCGGTCCCCCAAAAGGTCACGGCAAGCATCCAGATAATTTCCGCCAAATCAGCCAAAAAATATATAAGAGAGCAGAATCCACAAGCGTTTGACTCGACCAAAAATGTGTCGTTTCATGGTGTTTTTATATAAGAAGTTTGTTTTCGACTGGGTAGATAACCAACAGCCGCGGGCATCGTTATGCGCAGATATTCTTCTATCGCCTGACCAGATTCAGTGATCGCAAAATAATCGCACACTGTGTTTTCGCTTTTGCGCTGTTATTTTTCACTCAGGCAGTAATTGTCCAAAAGTGCGCTCTACATTTTTGTGGTGAAATATTCGCAGAAAGCACGCTTAAGTTTTTGCGATAACATAGCGTCGCCATCGCACAAGCCGGTAAACACCGTCCAGGCTACTGCCATCTTTATTAAGTGCACGTGCACGTTTTAGTAGATAAATGCTCTAATTTCTTGGCTCGCCTACTCGCAGTATGTGAATTATGCTCGCCCGACATAATTAATTTTGGCGCTAATCACGTTTTTAAAAATAACTAGCACGTTATTACTTACAACATTACTTACTTATTGTACATTAAAGTATGCGAAACACGGTAAACCAGGCGTTACTCAGTTCTGAACGTTTTTTACTAAAAACTATTACATTATGTGTTAATTTTAATGCCAGCGTAATAATTTTAATGCCAGCGTTTTTGTGCAAATTTTGTACAAGTCTGCCGGCCACATCGCCAAGAAGTTCGATGTTTCCGGTTGACTCGATGGTGCATGGTATCGGGTACGTGCGTGTGGCAGTACAGACCTGACTATTGCCAAATTATTTCGTCATTACATAATTTACGCTGCCAGCAAAAACAAAGCAGTAAACACTTAAAGCACTACACCCATAATATAATTGTATGGGTGCGGTGTTTTTTCCTTTCACTCTTTAATTCGATTAAGTGCCGTTGTCGATCAGTTATCAATTATTTGCCTAATTACAGTAGTTATCAATAGTTTGCAAGTGAATGTCTTTTATATGTACGAATTTTTTTTAAAAATAATATCTTCCATCTACCTCGAGAGCGAACGCATAGTTAATTCTGCAGGATTAAGCAAAAAATTCATCTGGGTGCTTCAAAATTCTTTGGAAATTTCCTCAAAGTTTTTTATTGTTCGTCATTATCTTCCTTGGAGCTTCCATAATGTAGAAACTAGAAAGTTTTCCGATGGGCGCGATTAATTTGAAAAGCATATCAGCATATCAACTTCGAGCATGCACAGCATGCTGAAATAGTGAAGTTGCAGGAAATTACCAAACTATAATTATATTTTTTCACTAATCGTATCCGTTTAGGCTTTTTCCAATTACTCATTTTTAAAAATAGCATTATCAATAAAAATTCTTATTGCCTCCGAAATTGATAATCAGGATTTTTTATTAACAACAACGATTGGTGCTGTTTACTGAATATTATTAAGATCTCTTGTTTTGGCTATTTTCCGTTGTATTGTTAATTAATTGTATCGTATATGCGTACAGAGAAAAATTTTCCAGTGCACGGGATCAAGCTCTGGTGTGATTATGAGAATGAAAATGGTCTTCTTAATAATAACTCTGTTGATATAACTTGAAGAGAAAAGAAATAAAGACGAAATCCTCAGCTTATACACATGCGGTACACTTGACGTGTACTGGCGTCCCTTAGTACACATCGATTCTACTTCTACTACTTCTACCCTTGAGGATACGGCTTAGGCTTTACTACAGCTTCTTCTTGAGTCATGACCCCGAGTCTCAGTTTCGACTTCTTAGAAATCTCCAGCAAAGAACTTTGACCGCGAATTGCCATTTCGCTTTGACCGCGAGTCACTGACGTAGCTAAACCTATTGTTCTTCTGTACGAGGTGACCTCATGTTCTTATTGGGCCACGTGTGTGAATGCCTTCTAGATGCTCTCATTAGATTAGTCCACGTGCATGCAGTCGTAGTTCATTGGCTTACGTTTAGATCTCTATTGTTCTCAGATCCGTACCTACGCGTACGAAGAGCCGCACCTGCGAGTGCCCAGGGCTATATAAGGCGCTGGTCGCCCACAAAAATTTCAAGAATTGTAATCCCAACAAAAGTAGAGGCTTGTACTCGATCTGATTAACTTCAAGCTTTTGCTCTGGCTTTCTCTTATCGCAGTGAGGAATCGCTATCAGACCTCTTGGTGACCTTTCTCGCCTACGTCTGTGGTTCTCCTTCACTTTACTGGCGTGCATTATATCTTCGGTAGTCTCGCAGTAAGATACGTGACCTTTAGCTCTCGCTTGCATCCCTTGACCTTTTGGTCTCTTCATCATCTTCATGCCCTGTAGCGCCAGGTTGATGGATATTGCTTTTACCGCTTCTGCTAGCCTCTAGCGAGGAGTCAGGTAAGTATTACTCGTATCTTGTATATTTCTAGTGTTTTTAGCAGGGATACCGGGTTCCAGTCTTCTTCTTCTGCACATCATCAAGGATACTTCTACTATCTTCTACTTTCCTACCAGTTTGAGATCTCAAGAGTGCTCTATCCCGATTGTGTCGTGGTCTGGGAAGTGGTAAAGGAAATACTACTGCACAAGTCTTTCTCTTTACTTCACGACACACTGCAATATTCCGGCGCAGCCGTCGCGTAGTTCTCGTAAGACGCGTATATGTATAGTTGCACGTGTAACTGGAAGACGCTACATATTATATGTACTGTGGTACACGTAATTGTGTGCGCGGTGGCAAAGGCCGAACACGATAAGGCAACTAAGTGCCAGAATAATATACTGTAGCCGCCCGCACAAGTTGCCCCACAGAGTGAGGTATACGGATATTTGGCCTCACATTGCTCGCTGTTCAGCGCAGTGTGTGCAGGGAGAAGGCAGCGGCCGGATCTGCCAATGGAGCAACTTGTGCGGGCGGCTACAGTAACCCTGGACTACCTGTTCAACGCTTTGGGTTTAAAAACGCTAGGACCAAACTGACCGGAAGCTATCCGCCTGTTTGTGGAAGTCGGTAGAAGGGGTTTGGCAAGAAACCGGCAAAGCACTGATACATTAATCGCTCCACTACTACGTATCGCTGCAGACTTTACGCAGCAGCTAAGCGGCAATGCTAAAGTTGGTATTTTAACTTTAATTCAAAAGTACCGAACAACTCCGAAACGGACCAAGAGAAAACTAAAACCAATTCAATTCCCAATGCACACTCACACTGCGTTTAAATATTCTAGGTCAAGTGCACGCATTCATAATTGCCATGTTTTGCAGTCGCACATACACACAGAGTGGACAACGGACAGTACGTACATCTTCCTTAATAGCCCATATGCTTATGATTGATAAGACAACACGATAATTACCAGCACATTATCCATAAGGCACAAGACCACTGTTTACTCGATACACGTTACTAAATATAAACGTTAATTGCTGCTGATGATGGACACTGGCCATATGTGCGGCCGTAAGCCGTCTGTTTATCTTGCCGGCAATGACTGCGTCCGGTTATATGCCGTATGTCCGTAACATATCTCCCTCCTTAAGGGGTTTGGCCCTCCAAACCATTAGCACTTCCTACTGCGCGTATCCGATGACGACATTTTCCGATCCCTGTGTAAAAGTAACAGTGTCAGGATAAATACGCGGTACTGTTATAGTGTCACAAGGGATCGTTTCTGTGGAAGGCTGTGTTTCCGGTTGCAAAGGGGCAGAAGGAGACGGCTGAGTTTCGCGGGTTGCATCCTTCGCTTTACACATACGGCAACACTGGACAAACGAGAAGATTGTTGCTCGAAAAAACCATATTGCGAATCCGATGCCGATCAATGTCAGCACGCCTGCGCCAATGTAAACAGCATTCCGAAACAGGCGAAAGCCGCTAAAAAAATCCGGTAGCTCAGCTGTGCGCGTGGCAGCTTGAGCAATTTGTTCTACGCTTATCAGTCCGTTTTCCTCCATAGCGCTTCCCAGTTGTGCTAATAAGTTGAATGTGTAGGAGTGTTCTTTTTCCAATGCTGAGGAAAGATATTGCGCTGAGTTATCGATGTGACTGTCAAAGTGTATGTTAATCCACTTGTGTTCCGCATGTATTGTCGACTCTAACTTGTTCCATTCGTTGTCACGGGCAGTGTACGGTTGGCCCATCAGGTTGATTATGCTGGACCGCCATAAACACGGTGCGTACGGCAATAACAGGTAGCCGTCTTGTCCGATTCCATAGTTTCCGCTACGTGGTTGCGGTCCACATGGCGAGTCGTTATCTACGATGACGTCGACGTTCACTGTGCGGCATTTACGTAACACTGCCGTTTCATGGAACGACTCTAAGCTGTGACAGTCGTTGTAATGAGCCGCTCTCGCTGCGAGTATCCCGGAAGTGCGGGAAAGGGCATACATAGACTGTACATGGATTTGCGAGAACTTGCATTCTAAAGAGTTAACCGCGTCCGCTGCGGCATTCTCTTGGGTTTCAAACGTATCCATGATCCATTGGAGATGATGAGGTAGGAACTGCTCCTCTGTCATTATTTCCGTTTCCTGTGGTCGAGATCGAACTCGTAGCCTTTTGTTGCGACTTTTGGGCTCATTCTTTTGTAAGTGCTGAGTAATTTGCACATACATCTGCTTTTCACCTATCACTGCGTGCGCTCCCGGTGGTACGTTCGGACAGGTGGTGTAGTTGCTACTTTCGGCCAGAAGAAAGTCAACCTGTTTGTTTTGGTCGCGTATCCGAACAACACCTTTTTCGACGAAAAGTTTGCCTGAACGTTCTGGCATCTTATTCACTCGGCAACCTACATCGGCTACGCCAAAGTCAGACCATACAAAGGTGTGGTGACCTTGCGTTACATGGCCGGTACTTCGGTTTTTGGAGACTTCGCCCATGACAGTGTAGATGGGGCAGCTGTCACACCGCTGCTCCATAGTAATGTCCATTACTTCGCAATTTGTGATTTCGTATACTGAAACCGAATTCCACGAACCTGATCCTGATGGCTCCGCTTCATATGTCCACCTGTTTCCTTCCTTTTGCATCTGGTGACCTTTGCACATGAGTGTTTGGACTAACGTCCAACATTCCGTTGGAGAGACCTGTCGGTGACGCGTTCGGTAAATAGTATCGGTATTAAACAGAA